AATGCGATCATCATTCACACCTATATTGTAAGACCTGTAAAAAAGTAGCGAATGGAATATATAAGCGGTGTGAATGTAATAACGATAATTCTCGGATAATTAACGTTTAGTAAAAATAAATCAGAATCGATACATAATTCGCTCACATAACAAAGATATTCATTTAACATGTGTTGGGTACGTAAGAATTTATCTGTATCACCCTACTAGCTTATCGTTATGCATAACTAATTTGTGAGGGCACAAACACCATTTCTGAAAGCTCAAATTTGGTTAATTGGTTCATGAACATTCTTCAAAATTATGACAATATACCTCATATGGAAATTTTAGAAGTGGTACAGTACATGCACGATAATGTTGTATGATCGTCAGCTTCACGTAATTTATTTTTCCAAAATTTCTTCTTTCAGACTTAACGCTCGCAACTTATAATTATCTTGGAATATAATGACTACACACGAATATTTTAATCAAACGTATACTGAATGGAATATAATAAACTTTCTAAACCAATGTAACGAAGAACCATTCCAGCTGAAAATAGATTTATACCTAAGAAGTCTTGAAAATATTATTAACTGTGGGGAAGGAAATAGGAGAGAAAAAGCACAGTTTCTTTTTGATAAATATAAAAGCGTAAGTAAAAATATTTTTTGCTGGAAGCATAGATGTGAAGAAGTGGCGTGGCATGGAATCAACTAGTTTCCATGACATTCAAGTCAATTAGTCGAGCCACAAACCAGCGTTGGGGCACAGGCGATCAATTAGTTTGCCTGATGTTTCAAGTCTACAAGTCGAGCCAGCGTTGGACCCATCGACACAGGCAATCTACAAGTTTGGCTGATTGTTCAGATGGGATGGATTAGGAATGAATGAATATATTTATTAGTCGAAAATATTGCTAATTCCTCGAGTCTTCCATTGCCAGGGTACCCAACCCGATTATAAACTCGCAAGAAAGTGGAATAATGAACGGGCAAACAAGCAGATCCATTTTCACCAGCCGACATTCACAAGCGGTGGGACTAACAACGTTAATATAAGTGGGATTACCAACGGTGGAACTTTCGTTGCAAAGAGGGATCATGAAGAGGTACTGATAAGTACTTTTAGATAGTAATTGGGCTATAAAACTAATTAATTTGCATTTTTATTTTAGAATGAAGAGGATCAAGATCAAAAACATGCCAAACGGACAAAAATGGCGCTTCAATTTTGTGACTACATTCCCCTTTCTCGTTCCTCTTCGAATGTCATCACACCTCCACCACTACCTCCACCACTAGGCAACAATGCTCCTATTGGCTATTTCAGAATTCACACTTTCCCTTCACATGACTCTTTACAAGTTCAATCTGGCAGTCTTGAAGACGACAGTGATTGTTTTGATGGTTTATCTGTGAATGAAAATTCATCAGTCGAGGTTCAGCACCTTATCTCAAAAATGGCAAATGTGAACCATCGTCTTTTTGAATACAGTATTGTTAACCTCTCCGAAAAAAATCTCGTAGACCCAGTAAATAATGTCTTTTCAGATGACGATAAAAAAAGAATGAGGAAATTCTGGGAAGATGTATGCATTATAAGCCATTGACAGGTTCCAGTTATTAATAAACCTTACATCTTCTTTTAGATGGAACCATCAACTGAAGAAAAGTTGAATACAGTGCGAAAATCAAAATGGGAAAAGAGCATTAAGCCACTAGTTGACAAGTATGCATCTGCCATTGAAATTAAGTCCGTTTTTGATGACGAAATTCAGACACTATCAACAGAAGTTATTTTTGAGAAGCCGTTCGAGGGAAAGTTTGACTTTAGAACACATTATGATCTATTATGGGTACAGGACATTTATCGACGATTGTAAGTTGTTTTTATTACTTAATATAATGCACCACAGGAATTAATTAGTTAATTTTCATATTTATGTTAGTGTGTTCTTGTTCGCCTCATGTTCCAATATACTTCGTGATGTGACTATGTCAGAGATAGCCTACAGAGAATCATTTGTTAATCCCATAATTCCCAAGGCATTCGACGATATTAAAGACAAGATTAGGTTTCAAACGTATGTTGAGTACCTCTAAAAGAAAATCAGACCCCATATTATGCATCATTTTGATTTAATGTAGTTGTATCCGATATAACTTTGGTTTATCAAATATTATATTTACTAGTGGAGAGATAGAGAGCACATTGCGTAAAGAACATCGAAATCAGACAAATGACCAAAAACCTCGGATATTGCTTGGTTCAAATTATGACGGGATTCTAAGAATTTACGTGAACGCAAATGAAATAGAGATTGGATTTTTAGAAGTTGTAGGGAATGCGTCGGTTGTGGATCTTAAAAAATATCGCGAAGATAGGGAGAAATTATTAAAGGGTCTGCAATTACCAAAGATTTGTGTTTTGAAATCTAAGCAATGAAGTTCACAGAATCCTTTCATCTTTGTAGCGATGCAGTTGTCGATCTTTTATCAACGACAGCACCACCTACGTCGTAATGCTCCAGAAGAACAGCTTGGATGCCTTCAAAGTTTTGGTGTATTAGTGTACCGTATGTAATGTATCATGTTGTATTTATTACAGATTCATTTATATATTATTTTTTATTATCTACTTTAGAGCGTGAGACAACAATTTACACAATGCATCGTGTTAAAGGGGGTTTGCATATTGCTGATATCCTATCTAATTTCACGATTCCGGACAGTAAAAGCCAGTTATATGTACTAGATGAAATAGTTAGAAAAGCTTATTTTTTTAAAGTAGGAGTTTAGTTAATCGATTTTTCTAACTTATTCATTGATCTAACTTTACGTTGGTATTATAGAGTCGGGTTATGGACTATTACTTAAAGATACAAGAAATCTCAAAAAAGGCACAACAATACACTCCATCAAATGAAAATCCGTTAGAAGCATCACCATCCAAAAACACTAGGTAATCAAGATAATGGTTGATGAGTATTATTAGATGTGACACATCAGACTTCCATCTGATGTTGATATTCACAGTAAGCAATAGGGGATAGACTTTCTTTAAAGTATTTTTACATTTTAATAAAACGGGCCCAGAGGCCAATTTTACATTAAAACCTATGCTTTATAATATAAATCCGGTATCATTATTTAATACTCTGATAGTTGAACTAATAAATATTGAATTGTGGTACTATTTGATTAATTTTTTTCCTGTCGTGACTTTACTGAAAAATTGGTTTAATCGTTTGTATGTTTATCCTGAATTTTGCTTTTATTTTTTATATCAATAAAGTTGCCGATTTCGCATACATAATCAGTTTATTTATGCGTGTATATTTCGTGAATTTCATCGATGAACATATGATCGAGAATTTTAAAATTTTTCTTGGCAAAAGTGATTAGCGGGACCAAAAGTCACGCACTTGTGATTTTTATTTGAAATT